GTAGAGTTCCTCTGGAAGTGCTGGGGCAAGGCCATTAGCCTTAAGGATGCGGAGAACCTTGACACCAGTGACAGCACGGACCATACCAACGCCGTTGCGATCACGAAGGAGAGCGCCAATTTGAGATGGGCGGACACCCTTCTTAGCATAATCGCAAATCATCTGAACACAGTTCTCGGCAGAGAGCTGAAGCCAGTGTGGAGCAGAACGGCGGTATGGGCATGTTGAAGAAGAAATACCTTTGCCTTGAGAGTGAAGACGTCCCATTAAATCAAAAGGCCGCTCCAATACGATTATTTTCCCTTCAATTTTAATAAATTAGACTGTTAGAGGTAGAGAATATATAGGTTGGATAATTCATCACAAGAAGTAAGGAAGTCAATTTGGAAAATTGTTTTCACTTTAGGAGAATATAATTTTCCATTTGGAAAATTTAAAAAGTGAGACGCGCAGGATTCGAACTTTTTTAAAAGTTGATTTAAATGAATTTTAGTGTGGAATATAAGGATAATATCATATTTAAAATAAGAATATACTAGTTTAGGTGGTATTAATTTTTTCGATAAATTTGAGAGTATGTACGTTTAGGGCATGAAAAGTGTCAATTCGCTCAGCGAAAGCTGAGCTAGCTTCGTTCTCGAAAGAATAAGGAAGGAGTGAAGGAGAATGATACAGAAGTTGACACATTCATATCATTTCAACAAATTTTGATCAAATTGAAATTCAATAAAATTCAATTCAATTCATATCCTTCAGTCAGTACATTGACATCCTTCTACATCACAATGATAACTCGGGCATCAATAGTTCTACAACTAACTCAGAAAAAACAAGATTATTACTTCCTGCTTACAGCTTTTAAAAAGTTTCGATGATAAAAATCACTCTACTCTTGTTTATCGACATATGGTGATAGTAGGTAAACATATTCTTATCGATATTAATAAAAATATTTGTACGAAAATCTTATCCAATTAGAGAGTTATTCATAAAGTATATGATAATTATAATTACTTTATCTTTGTTTTATCTTTGAATAAACAATTTAATTTAAATTGCATAATATTTTTTGGTTGAAAGACAGGAAACTTAGTTGAGTTTGTATTATTTTTATCGTTTAATTCATCGTATCAGTGAGTGATCCAGATATTTAAGATATTTAGAAAAAAAATTATTAATTTGATTAACAAATTTTAATCAAAATAGCAAAAATCTATTTGATAGCTGTAAACAAACAATAATTTTTATTTCAAGCAAAATCACTTATTTTCATCTAAACGTATAAAATTGTCAATTTTATGAAAATAAATTGAAAATCTCATGAAGTGTAAAGGAGAGTAATATTTTTCAATTTTCTTTTTTTCTTTGTCTCAAATATTTTCTGTTGGGAATTTTCTTGTTATCAAAAAATAATTTTAATATTTGTTTATTTCATTACATACAATAAAATTTTAAAAACTCTATTTCTTCTCAAGAAAATTTTTTCCTTCATATGAAGAAACATTTTGTTCTCCATTTGATACTGAGTCTAAATCTCGATTTTTGAATTTTCTTCTTTCCAAATTTCTTTTTTCCAAATTAGAAGTTTAATTCAAATTTGCAATAGTTTATATATTTTCTCAAACCGTCTCAGATTTTCTCACTTTTTAGGGATTTTCTCTCAAAATATACAAAAATAGTAATATCAATACATGTGTCTAATATACTTTAAAACCATCGTGACAAAATTCAAAAACGAAGAGTTCTTCTCTCCAAATTTTTTTCAAAATCAAAAAAATGAGATAAAAAAGTACGTTTGGAAAATTCATTTTTAGCATTTTAGGAATTTTCTCACTTTTCTTCCAAATTGACATCCTTACAAGAAGTTATCATTTATGATGAATTTCCTCAAAATTTTAAGAAAAAGAATGTGGATGCTAACATTGACATGGGTTTTTATCATATATCAAAACTATATTCTTAGTCAATAGCCATTTAAAAATATGGCAATGGTGAAAGTAGATGAATACAAATATTGTACATATAAATTCAAACATTTATTCTAAATTACATGGAATTACCAAAATTTTGGCAAAGGATCACTTGAAATCTGGTATCTTTTTGGAGGAATGATAGTTTCAGCGGGTTTCGAGAAATATACATCATTATCCTGAAGACTTTTAAATGCATTTGTGAGTTTTCTATTCGAAACAAAAGAACTGTGAGCTTTATTAAAGGATAAATCTATCATTCTAAGATAAATTGCTTTAATATCTTTTGCATCCTTTGATTCTTTGATAGAAATTGGCTGGTTGAATTTTTGGAAGAATTCAACAGTAGATGCACACTCAGTGAGAGCACAAAAGACATGATCGCCTTCTTGCATTGAATAGAATTCTAAAGAGAATTCCTTTTCAAGAATCCGATTATTATGGAGTAGAATTAAAGGGTCTTTATATTTCAATCTTTCTTCAATGGACCCTACTGTTTCATGATGCAGTAGAAAAATCTTTTGAACAAGACCGGATGGACAATGCACGAAGATATTCATCAATGTTTTTATTATGAATACAGATTTTTTGTGAAAGGAAAGAATTGAATTAAATTTTAATTCATGTAATGGAAATCAGATAAATAAACAGTTTAACAAGTGTTTATAAAATAAGAGATATATTCAAATTATCGATTTTAATAATTACAATTTAATTTCTCAGTAGTACAATCAAGCATTAACATTTTGCATTTTACAAAATTTCTACTTTTCAAAAGTTGACTGGAATTGAAATCTTTTTACGCAACGTATGTCATCAACCTTTGAAATAAATTTTTGCTTAACTCATATTCATATTTGCAAATAGATCCATATTTCTATAAATTTTAATATTGAGAAAATTTATATTCGAACCAATTTAAAAATAATGTGATAATACTAACAATCCAAATAAGCCAATAATTTTTTGAGATAATCAATTCTGAAGTTTATTTGAGATAAAAAGACTGATTTGTGAAAAAAACCGATAATAGATTTCAGATAATTAAATAATTGTAACCCATATATTATGCTCTTATTTCAACAAATACATTCCTTACATTTCATGTATGACTCATTAAAGGTATAGAAAATTTCGAGTATTTTCGATTGAAATGCGAATTTTTTCTCTGTGGTCCCAATATAGAAATTTAAAAATAAATTATTTTTAATTCAATTCATTATTTCCCACATAAAATCGGAAAATATTATTACAAATCATATATTCCATCTATTTTAATTGTTACAAATCTCATTTGTTGTAAACAGAAATTCATTAAAAGTGACACCTCAGAAGAGCTAAAATATTGAATTTTTGGAACTTTTGATAGAGCACGTTTTTAAATATTAATTAAAGTAAATGTATATTTTGTAAAGATTCTTTTTAATAAAAAAATAAAATTTTGAAGAAGAACACAAAATCTTCTGAAAAATAATATCACATAAACTCATATTATATTCTAATATATAACTATTTTATATAAAAATCAAATTCAATGATCTTAAAAGCGAAGGATAAACCTCAAAATTTACGAATATAATGAGTGGGAATATAATGCTTATCTATCATAAAACCATATGAAATATCAATTTTTGCTTTACGCCTAATTTTTGACGACAATTAGCAAAAAATGTTAAATGTTAACACTCAGTCCATTTGAATATGAAAAATAAAATTGACTTTGATTAAATGTTTTTATTTATCATGCAATTCTTCTTGCGACCAAAGATTTGATTAAAAGTTCAAAAAATAAGATAGCTTAAAAAATAATATACGGTAGTGTTTACTAATAGATGAATAGTATATAAATTCTATTAAAATGGATTTGATCCAAAAAAATATAAAACCAAAAATAATTGTTATAATTTAAGGGTGCACCCGTATGTACGTTTATTTGAGAGGAGGATTCCCCTCTCAATTTTGAGGGATTCGTTAGTTTATTTTCTCGATGAATATGCAATAAAATTTGATTTTTACCTTATCAATATACTTCATATAATATACACATGTTCATGTAAAAACTTTTTTCCAAAATCCTCAGGAATTAAGGGATTTTTGAATTTTAAGAATTTTTTTCGAATTTTTTCGAAAAAAAAATATTTTCAGAACAGCCTTAACGGCTAAGATTTAGGAACAATGTTAAGTATCAAAAAGAAAGGAGGTCTGATATAGACAACATATATCGTTGAAGGTTGAAAAAATCTCTAATATTTGAGCCCAAAATTTCAAATTTTAATTTTTTGAAAAAAGAGGCCACCCGTATGTACGTTTATTTGAGAGGAGGAGAATTATATTTTTGAAAGGGTGAAACATTATGAATATGTTAATTATATAATAATATGTATTATTATAAAAAAGAAATAATAAAGCACGTTAAAATTTTTCTTTCTTGATTTTTTACAAAATCTACTTAGAATTATGCAAAATATGACTAAATAATTATAAATTTCAAGTTAAATTTTAATTTTGATAAATAATTTAAATTTCAAAATATCAAGTTCAGTTCGATTATGTATGTAGTAATTCCTCAATAAAGTGCCAAAACCCTATTAAAATATATGAACATTTTCAACATTTTAATGTTTTTATTTAAAAATTTGTTGGAATATGAGCTTCAAACAATTATTATGCAAATAAAAATAATTAAATATATGTATTTATTCGTATTACAACCGTAGTAAGTCGATTCTTCCTTTCTTCTACTGAGGTTTGAATTTGATTTCGAATTGTAAAGAGATTCAAAGGGAAAATACTAGCGGATAAAAACTACCTCCATGAAAGGGTCATAATGGAGTCAAGTTGTATTTTTTGATATTTTTTGCTTTTCGAGCCTAAATAGGTAGCCAAGATAATGCCTAAAAATAAGGTTCTAAATTCTGAAGTTTACATGATCCTCTCGTGTGCACCCTTAAAGAAAAAGCAAGGAAATGAAGAAAAGATAAATGAAAAAATATTTAATAAGATGAAAATCAAAATTGAAGAAATGCAGCATCACAATTTATATTCATCAGGCATATCACAGAATGATGTATCAAAAGTTTGAAACTCTTTAATGATATCTTCTGGGGGCGCTTCGAAAATGGGAAAAGCTCTGTTATGGAATTTTTCAAGCAATTCATTGTTGTTGCAGATGCGGATAGAGAACTTACAATATACTTCTTGGTAGCTATAGTTAAAGAACTCCGCAAGTTGAACGAATTTCGTTCCTCTTTGCATAAATAAATCTAAGTCAAGGCCTTGGATTACCTTATTGAGGTTATTTCTTCCTTTAGTATACAGTTCCAAGATTGTCGTAGGACATATTGCATAGTAATTGCAGGGAAGCCAAATAATGCCACATTTTAAGCATCTTCTTGGAATCAAAGAACCTTTAACGAAGCAATAGTCAAAAACTTTCTCCAAAAATGTAATGAATAGCTCCTTTTGGTTCTGACAACGACCTTTAATAAATAATGATTTCGTTTCCTTCTGAAGTTTAAGATATCCTTGAAGATCATCTTTCTTTTCACTTTCTGTTAGATGTTCACCCGATCGCCTAGACGTATATCTTCGGATGCTCTTGACTTGCATTAATTTTCTTCTTGTTGCTCTCTGATATTTACAAAAATTCTTTTTCAGAAGTATTCAAAATAAAATTTTTGCATTTTAATTGTAAAAACATGAATAATAATATAAGTTAAAAATTTGTTCAAAATTTTGGTTTAATTGAAATGGATCCCGGGGAATTTTGAGAGGTCATCTTTTTCGGGCTTGAAGAATGTTATTCTAATAATGTATCTAAAGACAATTTTGCCATTTCCATCTTTAGGTGATTTTAAAAAAGGGCGGTTTTGTCATTTCACCTTAATAAATGAATATTTGTTAATCGTTTTATATCTTGGCCACTTGTACTGACCTCAAATTTATCAGCTATGTTTGGTTTCGATGATTCTATAAAAATGGAAGAAAATTAAATTCAATGAAACTGCTTATAAATGGTCTGCAAAGTTAACCATCAGAATTTGGAATAGAAATGTTTGATCGAGCACAAAACGACAAGTTTATACCTCAAAACCGAAATCATTATTGAGAAGAATTATTAATGCCAACCATATGAGCTTGAATTATGGAGCCCGTACCATAATCAAACCGAAATATATTCGATAGGAGTTTTCAGTTATAATAGATAAAAAACTGAATTTGAAAAAAATCTGAAATCTTGACACTAGAACAATTTATTGTATAGAAAAGTTATACATTGACAGAGTGCATATATTGTGTAGCATAATGATTATTTATCGTAAATATTGAAGGATTGTTCTTCATTGTTTCCTTAAATAAGTTAGCTTATTTAAATCTTTATGGTCATATCTTTATATTCGGATTACTTAAAAGCTAAAATCTTCCTCAGAGAACTTTGTGACCTTTAGAAAATTTTTGTCGGCTTTGGACAAAAAAATATAAATGCGTCCACTTACACAGAAAGAAGCCCAAATTTTCTTCGAAAAGCTTTCTAAGTTCATTGGAGATAATGGCAAAGCCCTTATCGAGCGTGAGGATGGCACATGGATTTTTGCAATTCATAATAAGCGCGTATATTACATGAAAGAAGAACTCCTCAATCTTTGTAAACCATTTTCTTTCCCATTAATCCTTTCAGCAGGCATATGCATGGGCAAATTCACAAAAACAGGCAGATTTTTCTTACAGATTACAGCATTACCAATTATCGCTCCTTACGCTCAGTATAAAGTTTGGCTCAAACAGTCCGCAGAACTTGGTTTCTTGTATGGCCAGCATATTCTTAACGAAGGTATCGAAACAATGACTGAAGGCACACCAAAGAACGTTGGTGTTGTCGTTTACAATCATAATAACTTACCAATTGGTCTTGGTGTTGCTTTACAGGATTCTGTTCAACGCCGTTTGGCATCACCAACAATTATGGTAGTAGCACGCCAAGCAGATCTTGGTGAGTACCTTAGATCCGAATCTAATATTGCATAAAGTATATATAGAGTTTGATTTTATAATGATTTTATAAAAGGTTTATTTATTTATTAAATTTCAAAAAAACAAAATAATTTTTTAATTAACAATAGTATTACTCGGCATCTTCCTTTGGAGGCTCTGTAGAATCTTCGAAAATAATAATTCTATCCCTTATTTCCAAATATAAGGCAGAGTAACGAGCGAAAATGAACAAATTAACTAGGTATCCGAAGCATGATGATGTGTTAATTATAGAAGCATCTGTACATCCAAAAGAAATGTGAGAATAAATTAAATGAATGATAACAAGGAAAAGAAGAGAGCAATCTATAAGCCAAAATGCAGTAGATGGTGTGTAGAAGCATTTGTCGTTTGATAAATCAAGTAATAAAAAGTAGATAACCATCGAAATTAAAAACGCAGAATAAAGAATTGTATTAAGTACTTGAAAATGTTGAAAATCAAATATCGTGAGAGCAAGAATTGAAAAATTAGATGTCATATTAATTACTGTTAGAATGTTTTTGAAAATTGATTTCGGAATAATTGGGGCTCTTTCAAAGACGCCCAAAGTAAATTCTAAACCTTTGTAGTTGGCAATAAAGAAGCCAAACGCAACTACAATGAATAAAATCGGATAGATTGACGTACTTATTAGAATTTGCGGTGGATAATAAACGCCTTCCCATGTTTTTAAGGAAGAGAGCCTCAATAATGGTGGTACTCCTGTTGCCAATATTGGGGCTAATCCGCCGGCACCAAAATATATCAAACTCATAATTTCAAATAAAAGTGACAAGAAATAGGAAGTTATATGAGCGAAATTCGGCATCAATTTGACATATTCACACTTTGAATGAATGAGAATATTGGAGAGCTTGTTGATCCTTTTCTGTATTTGAGATAAATAGAAACATTAACGAAAATTGAAAAAATTGAATTCAAATATCAATGAATAAATTATGAGTGATCAGTTTCGTTATGCCTAAATACGTGAATTCTCATCACCTTGAGATGAATAAGGTTAGAAATATGTGAGATCATCATCGAATGTAAGCTTATTATAATATGACTTTAAACTTGCTTTAAAAATGAGATTTTTCTGTCAGTTTAGGCAAAATCTGGGAATAATTTGTTTCAATGCTCTAGTTTGAAAACAAATTTTTTAATTTGAATGAATATGGGTAAAATTTTGATGAAATTGTCAATATTTGTCCACATCATATATTATTTTGTTATGTATATTTTCCAAAAAAATTATGAATTTTAAAAAATAAAGATAAAAATTGTTAGAATTATTATTAAAAAGAAGAAAATAAAATATTTTTGGAAAATTTCAAATGTACAAATATAACTTATATTATAAGTTAAATAAATTTTATCATCAAATTCTTATTTTTCTTGTTTATTCATGAAATTTCGATTCCGATTTACATCATAGAGTGGATATGTTACAATTACATATAGCTACTCATATTTACTATATATATGAGAAACTAAATGAGATGAATTGCAATGTATTTATCAAATTCCACAAATCGAATTCATCCATATTCATACCAAAGCTATATTTTATGTAAAGATATATTTTAATAACTACTATATTGCTCAAAAAGTCTGATTATGGTCAGTACATTTAACGAGATAACGAGATAAGATTATTTTAGATAATTAGCCTGATAGATAATTTTTAATCGTTTTCGATTCAAATTTCTTGTTGAAATTCAAATTCAAAAAAAAATCCAAAAGAAACATGAAAAATATATTCAGAATTGGAAGTGCCGAATGTTCCTTGCACTCAGTCCAAGCAGCTAAATGAAAATTTTTCGAAAAGTGAATGCAAACAAACAAATTTTTATCATAAAATGAGTTTCAATGCTAATAACACTACTATCAAGAGACTTCTCTCAGAAATGAGGAAGCTTCAATCCGAACCAGATCCATCATTTGTAGCAGGACCAGTTTCGGATGATGATCTCTTTGTTTGGCATTTTACAATTAAGGGAACTCCTGATTCTCCATTTCAAGGAGGCATCTACCATGGAAAAATAGTTTTCCCACATAATTATCCTATTACTCCACCAGATATTTACTTCTTTACTCCAAATGGAAGATTTGAAACTAACAAGAAACTTTGCTTATCATTCACTTCTTACCATCCAGAATCCTGGAATCCAGGTTGGGATGTTAGAACAGTTCTTACATCAGTTATCGCTTTCATGCCAACAAAAGCTGAAGGTGCTATCGGCGGCTACGACGCTCCTGATGCTGATCGCAAGAAACTCGCTATAGAGAGCCGTTCTTGGAAGTGCAAGGAATGCAGCCTTCACTTGGATCCAGATGATTTACCAACTGATAAACCAGTTGAAGAGAAACCTGCGGAAAACCAAGAAGTAACAGATGAAAATACTCATCAAGAAGAAGCGCAACCAGTTGAAACACCAGTAAATACAGAACCAGAACAACCAGAAATCAAAGAGGAAGTTGAAGCTCCACATGTAGAAGAAACAAATACCGAAGACCAAACCGCTACAGAAGAACAAAATGTTGATGAAGGAAAACTCGAAAATAATCAAATTACGGAAAATGAACCTCAAAAATTGGAAGAAATTCCAGAAGATGAGGGCAAAGTCGAACTAGATTTCGCACAGCTTGCTGACGCAAATGAAGAAGCACCACAACCCCATGCAGAAGAACAAAATCAACCAAATCCAGTAAAGCCTGCACAGGAAAAGCAAGAAAATGCAGACGGAATTAATTTCGAGACCCTTAAGTCGGGAACAATCAGTAAGAAAGGTTCATTTTACCCTTGCCTCGATATCCCAATCTTAATTGTCTTTATATTGATGATTTTCTTAATTCTCAACTCTTACTCCAAGCATAATTTGTTACAATTCTAATGTTTTAATTCAATATCGAATTTATTACTAAAAAAAAACCTTTTGTTTTTCTTCAATAACTGATGATTTCATTCTTTTTAAGATATACATTTTATAACTCAACAATTCATTCCTTTGATTTCAATTTGATTTTGAAATCTTCATCAAATCGATCTCATTTGAAAGGGACTGCAACAATTACCATATCTTAGAAGCGTATATGACCATTATAGAATAATTGGCTTCATCTCTTTCAAATTTCAAAAATTTTGTAAATTTTTGATCGGTATTGTAAACTCTCAAGATTTTTGATGTCTGACTTGATTATTGACATACAAGGTGTTATTTTCAATGGTGATGAATTAATAAATGGCGCCAAAGAATTCATTGATCATTTAATTTCCGAGAAAAAGCATATATTACTCGTTTCAAATTCAACTCGTCTTACAACAAAACAGACATTGGCTAAACTTACATCAGCTGGAATCAACATTCCAGAATCTAATGTAATCACCGGCGAAAAGATTCTTATTAATGCATTAAAACATGAAAATGTCAAACACATATTATTATTAGGTACAGATGAGCTTTGCGCTGAAGTATTAGCAGCAGGCATCCAAGTTGATAAGAGCACAGCTCTTCCTTCATCTCATTCCGAACTTTATAAACTCAATGACAAAGTTGATGCAGTTGTCGTTGCAGAAGACCTTTCATACAATTATGCACATGCTTCTATTGTTGCACGCTACGTATTAGAGAACAAAGCTAAGTTCTTCTGTTTAGGATTCGATAGAATCTTTCCAGGAGGCGGAAAGAACTTCATTCCAGGCGCTCTTACATTATCTGCCCCAGCAGAAACAGCATCATACGTTGCTCCAGCTATAATTGGAAAGCCAAACGTTGATTCTTTCATTAATTTGATTCCAAACCACAAAACAACTAAATATGTTGTTATTGGTGATAATACAGAGACTGATATTGCATTTGCCAATAAGTTAGGATGGAAATCTGTCTTAGTTTACTCAGGAGTTACATCTAAATCAGATTCTGTCAAAGAAGAGAACAAACCAACACTTGCTGTTGATAATTTATCAGAATTGACAACCAAATTGGCTACTTTATAATTTTTATATAATTTTCTATCTTTTTTTTAAATAAAATTTGAAATTAAAACAACTTTACATATTTTATTATATTACTTGGCAAGGAATTTATCATATATAGCGCGCGACATAGCAACACTTGATTCTGGCCTTAAAGGCCCAATAATTTCTTTCATCTGTTCCTTAACATCTTTTTCAATGCATTTAGGTATTTGATCTGATACAAGGTTTTCGAAATAAATATCTGGATGAATTCCTGGGATCTGATTAAATAAAAGCCAAATTGCAGAGAATAAAGAGACTTCTTTCCCAGTAATTCCGAATAAAGCCATTGCTTTGTTTAATTCTGCTTGAACACAATCGTTTGTAAACAGTAAATCGAAAATAATATAAACGATAACGAACTTATATTCAGGTTTGAAATTATCCTGCATGCACGTATGACAGATTTCCATAAATAAAGTAAATGTTAATCCGATTTCATCATAATCCTCGTCGCCTTTGAAAAATCCAACTTCTTCTAAGGATTTTATTACAAGATCATGAAGTGGAATTGGCTGATAGTCTGTTGTTATCCTTTCTAAACAGGAAACCCAGGCTTTTGCAAGTTCAAACGTACCTTCATATAATTCCACCATTTTTTAATTTTTTTGTAAAATTTTGAAAATTGGATTTCTTCTGTTCTTGCTGATATTTGAGATATGTTTAGAGGCAAAAATCCGATATAATAGTTATCAAGTCTTTATGAAAATATCAAATCATCAAATTGCTTTTAATTATTTTAATATTTTAGTCATATTTTCATCAAAATTCATTTTTAATATCATTTAAGATTGTTTGAGAATGGAAAATTTTGTTCCATTGTTATTTGGAAACTAGCTATGCCATATCAAATCAGTCCAAAAAGAAAAATTAAAACAAAATATTATCAAATCTCAAATTTTATAAGATAACATTAATTTAAACGAATATTCCCAATAAGCTTAAGAAGGACATGAGCAAAATCTACATTTTAAAAATTTATTTTTATTCCGAAATTAATTAAGAATACACAAGATAGTGTCTAAGTGACATATGAATAAAAATGCTTAAGTTTAGTATAACTTTATATATAAGTTGATGTTTCAACTAAATTGAACAATACATTGAGATTTTTTTTTGGATTTGTTTTAAAAGCATAACTATATTAACAGCAGAATTCCATTAGTATGTTAAGTATAATACTATGCGTTCATGCAAAAATATGCATTCAAATATGGATTGAATGGAATTTTCATTGGTATCATTAAAACTATTACAATGTTCCATATTGTAGTTCTATGGGATATCATTATGGTCGATTGTGGAGAAAGAATTGGTAAATTATTTTTGTTATTTCGAAAATTGAATTGTTAAATGATGATTTTCAATTTCAAATCCATTTAACTCTTGTATAGCCACAGCAGACTGCTCTTCTGTCTTGTATTCAACAAAAGCGATTGTCTGCTTTCCAGGTAAAGTACGAACTTCGACAAACCCAGGAAACTGACCAAATAGGAAATCAAGAACTGCTTTGTCTGTATTTTCTGGAATATTTTGAATGAAAAGGATTTTGTTTGGTGCTTGAAGTGTAACCTTTGGTGTTTCTTCGACAATTTCTTGAGAAATCTTCTGAACAAGAGGTCTAACCATTTCAGTAACCTCTTCATCATCACCACCCATGTCAATATCCCAGTGATAAGGAATTGGTCCAGTAGTTAATTTTCGTACTTCATTATCTTGAATTATTTCCTTTCTTCTACCATAAGAATTGTATGTACCATTGAGTTTTAGAGTGTTTATGTTCCGTTTTTTAGCAAATTGAATACTAATTGGAGTGGAAAATATGTAAATTCCGTTTAAATCCCGTTTTGCATTAATTGCACTTTCTATATTTTGATATGTAACCCATGCCTGTCCGCGTTTTTTAATTGCCTTGCTTGCTGATATATCAATTATTTGTCCATATGGTGAAAAGTAGGCAAATACGTGCAAGATTAATTGATTAATGCTGACATTATCATTGATCCTTTTAATATATAAAGTATTTGAAACTTGCTCTGTTGACATTTGAAACTTCAGAAAAATTCAATTTGAAAAAATGAACATTCGAAGGTTTTGCTTATAAGTATCATCATACAGACAGAATAAATTATTGGAATTTTATAATCTATTGATGAAAATCTAAAAAACAAAAAATTTATCTAAAATAGAAAGAACAAAACTTTATATTACATGGTAAAAAATAACCGCAAAAACAACATATAAATATATGAAGCCGATACAGGCTTATAATTGAAGGACAACAATAGGATATGTAATAAAGCCGAACCAACATCCCAAAACGGATAAACATATGTAACAATATTAGGCCAAGTGACTAAGAAGGTAACCAACCATGGTGAACTGTTAATCCGGTAAATAATTATATATTAACGGTAGATAACTAAAGAGCTCATTTTCGATGGTAACACTAAATAGAGCTAACATCTAACAACCTTCATGGCATAGCCTCAGTTGATATATCTGTAATGTCATCAACATTATTTTGCTTTAAGGCTTTTTGGTATACATCCCAGAAGACCACCATTACTAATGATGACATGAGGGTTCCAACAATCGAAACAACCGTACAGACAGTTGCTGGTAGGACGTTAGAGAAGGTAGAAATTCCGAGAAGAACAAAACCAATGCAAATTATAGCGTAGATATATATCCATGGGTTACGTAAGTACGGGTCCTTCTTCTCTTCATTCTCAACGTATGATCGAACGAAGGCCTCGTAGTTCTGGTTCATCTAATGAAAAAAATATTTTTTTCCCTAAAAATAATCAGAACTTATTCAATTAGCGATCATTTCAATTTCAAATGATCCAAATTTTGTTTGAGTTTTATCTAAAAATTAATTATAGGGGAGAAGCTTCCTAAACTTTTTAATCCCATAAATATGGTCATTATCTGGAATAAAGAGTTAAGCGTCATATGTCACTTTTTGTACTAAGGAAACATCGACTTTATGCGTTATGACTTTTCGATGAGGAAACAAGTGTTCACGTATTATAAACTTCCTTATTCCAATAAACCGACCCTAAACATAATTAATTCTAAGCATGATAATGGTCTCTTTTCTATGATAACCAAATCAATTTGGTTATCATAGTAAAGCACCAAAAACTGGAATAGGAATAACCGCACTTAAACAGGAATAGGCAGTGTGGAAACTAGAGAAGACTCAACTGATTTTTTAAGCAACTCTTCTTGCCGATTCAAATCTGCTTTGCTAATCATTGTATATTACTATATTCTGATTAGGATACTTTAACGCTTGATGCATGCACATCATTCTTTTAGCTGATTTCTAAAATACAATCTTCTATTAACTTTGAAATTTCTTCAAAAGTTATAGTAATTCCATAGTTCATTCGTAAAATGTTATTAAATAGCTCTGACTATTCCTTTGCACGCAAAATGAGGTAGTATTTTTTGAATTTTTTACTCAAAATAAAACAAAATCTACCCAATTTTATACCACTAAAGCCTATATTGACACACACATATATAAATCTCTATTGTTATAAGATAAATTTGAAAAAATAAATTTTTTTCCTAAAATGTAAAATTATACTTGTATTCAAAGAAAGTAGATCGTTTATAAGGAAGGTATTATATATTTGGGGAGAAAATCCCTTACAATATACAAAAATATGAAAGAATATTCAATCATCAGGAAAGAGCTTAGTACTAACCATTTGTGAGACGTTCATATAATATCTTTTTCCTTTTTGGGGTTTTTAATCGGATTATCCATTTCCCTGCATTGACTTTAATTCATTCTTGATGATCTGAGTATACATGATCATTATCGAACGTTTGCCATACTCTTCCACAGTTAATGATTGCTGAAAAATGAATAGTACTGAATAACAGCTGGAATTTCATAAGTATTTTGCGTATTTATACTGATTTAAACATGAAATACTCATACAAAATGCAAAGTTTTTAAAAACAATCAATAAAAGATTTTAAATTAGATAAAATATCATATGTCACTTCTTTTTTCATCTGGATAATAAAATTGATAAATTTTTTTCTAATTAAAGATAAAGATGCATTTATAGTAGTAGAAAATTAATTTCTAGACTAAAGCTTGTTTATTGTCACCGTTTTAAGTCTAAATTTATAGGAAATGGTTATTTTATTATGCATTAAAAGTTCTTCTATAAAATTAACATTAAAATCATCTTTCGCCTAAGAGTAATAACAAGGTTATGCAAATTTTATTGAAAATAGTACGAGAATTTTGTTTGAAAATATAATATGGTTAAAAATAGGGAATGGATGTATGAATGTTCCATATTTATTTTATCCGAGTTGCTTCATGATTCCATATTGCCGATTCCTATTCCAGTTTTTGGTGCTTTACTATGATAACCAAATTGATTTGGTTATCATAGAAAAGAGACCATTATCATGCTTAGAATTAATTATGTTTAGGGTCGGTTTATTGGAATAAGGAAGTTTATAATACGTGAACACTTGTTTCCTCATCGAAAAGTCATAACGCATAAAGTCGATGTTTCCTTAGTACAAAAAGTGACATATGACGCTTAAGGGTGCCCTATAGACGATAGACCACCCTCAGAAAAGCACTTTTAAGGTTATTTCTGTTAAGCTTTTATCTCGTTCAAGAGAGAGATTTTTTGAACTTTACCATATCATAATGCTTAGTTATATTATGACCAATCTCTACGATTTTGAAGATTTAAATTACGTTGAGAATTCATCGATTTTGTAATTTTTTGATTTTATTTCGAGTTTTTTTGATTTTTTCAAAAAAATAAAAAAGAAAGAAAATAAGGAAGGCATATAGTGTTTTCATTAAAAACAATTATTACAGTAAACAATGTCGCCAATTATTGGTTTTTTGAAATAATAAATTTGAAAAATGAAATATTGAGCATATATTCTACCCAATATCAATTGACTGATTAAATACAATATATATCTTTGCTTTATTCACTTTGATTACTTTTGTATTAAAAAAACCGTAAAATTTGGCGGGATTTTAGCTCTTCCTATGGAGTATTCTATTCCAATCATGGAAGGATACACAATTGAAGATATATTAATAACATATAAAGCTGATGACTGCCAAAAAAGGGTCTATCATCGAACTGTTTATTCAAATAAGAAACCTTTTTCGCATTTCATTAATCTAAACCAGCTTAATTCAAAACAAGATCATTCACAATCAAATGTTAAGGAAGAAACAATATTCAACGTCAAATTTAAGCCTGGAGTTCCGTATAGTGACGTTGTCAAGAATCTTCATACTTACATTTCTCTTATATCTGGTGCAGGATTTTCAAAACACATCGAATTGACATCACTCCTAAACTTTCATTGCCCAACAGAAACTACATTACTTGCGCATCTAAAGAGCATATTGCCAGATCTTGAGAAAGTTGCAACAGCAAGTTGTGAAGCTAATATACAAGAAATTCTTAAACATGATTCAGAATACAAATTTAATGTTTCATTAGATTGCGCATGGAGTTCTAAGCGCGATGCTTTACATGCCGTCATTACGCTTATAGATATAAATACAAACAAAATATTAGATTTTAGAATAGTTTCAAGGCATCCAGAATTAATAAAATTCAAAAGTCCCAAAATTTTGGTTGAACCAAAAATTTCACCAGGATTAATGGAAAGCTATGCATTACGTGATATGTTGAAATCTGATTTATGGAAAAAAATAAAAGTTTTTTGTTCAGATGGTGATGTTAAAGATTCAACAATGATAGAGAATTCTGGTGCACAATTATCACATGTAAGAGATCCAAATCATGTGATAAAATCAGCATTTTCAAAAATTGTCACTAAATATCCTAAATTTGAAAAAATATTTAGGATCCTTTTTGCATGCCCAACATTAAAACCAGAGCAAAAGGTTCAGAGATGGATGGGATTAATTAATAGATATCCAGGAGAATCACCAGAGCATATCGAAAAAAGAGAAATTATTACAAATATTGCTCCATTGTTTCTAAGAATCAGCAAACAATATCATACAAATTTCAACGAAGCTTTCAATTCATTGAAAGCCCATTTAGTCCCAAAAAATCTTCGTTGGATTATTGGATTTCCAGCCAGAATTTTTGTTTCTGTATTTGCGTATAATGAAGACAATTGGAAGACAAAACTAAGAAGATTAATGGGTATAGATGATTCTTATTTTGATGAAGATATTTTACAAGTTATATTAAATTTCGAAAATAAATCCGATTATGACCATATCAGAAGAACTTCGGAAAACTACAGAAATCATAACAGATGCGTTCATTACATTCCAGATGAAATTGACCCAGAATTCGCTGACTTAGTTCCTCATAAACCGTCAAAAGATGGATCCAGATCCGAAAAAATTGAATACACTGACGATGAGGATCCGCCAGCGGATGAAGAACCGTCAGAATCTGAAAATCTTTCACTTCCAACAGATTATCCAAAATTCAACAAAAAATCTATATTTGGTTCCGATATCAAAGTACCACCAGATTGGAAAAGGTTTTCATTTTTCTTCAAGGCGAAGGAAATTCCAGATGATCCTCAAGAATTCCAAAATTTATTATCCAAATTTAAACAAGATCTTTATAATACGTACTCGTCTTTAATTCGTATTAATGAAGAAAACATCTCGGCTGTTGCAGTTTACGATTCTCAGCAAGCAAAAGAAATTATGAATTCAGCTTTTACTGATTTTCATAACTTTGAGAAAATTAAGATAAACGCAATCAATTATCTTAACGTCCTCAGCCACAATCCACCATCTCTTGAAATGATAGCAGATTTTCATCCTGATTTGATACAACTTCCACAGACACTCAGAAAAACTCATGATAAGCCTAAAAAACAAAAGCTTGGTATCAAGCTTGGAAAAAATCTCAGTTTTCTTGCCGTTATTGTTCAACTTATTACATTTCGACCATTAATGCACAAACTATTTGACGAATTATTCTCTAATCCCAATGAGCAACAGTTAATATACAAAGAAATATTATCGCTCACAAATCGGAACTTTTCGGAAAATGCAGATGTTACTTATCTGTATCACCTGTACTCGAAACGGCAAAAGATACATCAAGCTGATCCAATTGATGCTTTCAAACAATTACAAGAATCGCTTGCATGTGAAGCTAGGCAACTAGATCTTATTGATTATTTCAAAAAATTCTGCTGGGGATTTACAGATAAAATTGACATTCCTCTTGTTAATAATAACGAACTTCAAGTTACTCCTACTTTTTCAGATTATCTTTTTATTGATGTTGCTGGTTTTACGTTTCCATTGGATGATTACACATGGAATAACAATCCAGCTGTAAAATCCAAACTAGTAGCCATAATAACTTATCACAGTCGACAATATAATATTATTATTTTGGACGAAAACATCAATTCATGGATTCTCTTTTGTAATACCAAAATATCTTACATTCGTGATGAGGAATTGGCGAATAATTTAAACAAAGGCGCATATAATACACCGAAATATTTGATTTTCAAAAAAATTTAGGTTTTTCAAAAATTAAATCTTTCATTTGTAATGTATGAATAAAATGTATGTATTTGATATAATTGATACATTCGAAATTTTTATTCTGAAAAAAATAATAAACAATTTTTGGCTTTTGTGATCTGATAATCTGTAAGAATAAATACCGACAAATTTTATTAATATTCATCGTAAAAGTATTCGGCTCTTGATGTAAATAAGGAATATTTTTTTTCAAAAGTTGCTTTTGAAGACTCTTTTATCAAGTAGCTGCATTTATTCATTGATAAGAAAGTATGCTGTACCAAAAATCGATAATTCACCACATTAACGACCAATTTTGTTTTGCATTTCGACAAAAAAGCTCCTTTTATATAACATTACTGGGCGAAAATTAGAGTATCTACGATGACAAAACAAAATACATCAACTTGATTTTTTACCGAGAAAAATGTTTTTGGAGGTACCAAAATAGGTCTCGAAAAGCATTGGTTTTATTTAAGGTTATTTTTTCTGAGGGGGCTATCGTCTATAGGGCACCCTTAACTCTTTATTCCAGATAATGACCATATTTATGGGATTAAAAAGTTTAGGAAGCTTCTCCCCATACACTAGTAGGGTGATAACAATGGTTGTGTGAAAAATTCAATAAGATCCAAATTTTTCTGAGCCATGATAAATTTTTTTGTAAAAATTATTATCAACTGAGAATCACCGAAGGTTTGGCGAAACTCAATAGATTTCGGAATGATAGGATACAAAGCACATGCCAATTCAGCAATCATGTATAAAATTTCGTAAATTCATTTTCAATTTGAAATGAGTCGCACAACCTTCAGGGATAAATGCACGCCCGCAATTTAGTTACATTCCAAGTATCTGTATGCGGTGCATGATTTCTTTCTTCTGGCAATATTTTGATCAAAAATCCAGAGATTCTTTTGGCAAAATTATTTAATTTCAAAAACACGCAGTTCCAATCACTTTCCATCATGCAGTATATATCATACTATTGTTAATAAGTGAAGAGCTTGCATAAATTTAATTTCCAAAAATCATCCCGTGTAAATATCTCAATTTACCTCAATTTTTTTTATTTATCGGAAAGAATTTTAGATATTCGTCTTGAAGATAATATGCATATGGACACCTATACAGCAATGCAATATACAAAGAGATAAAACCAAATTTAGGAAAGAATATAAATAAAAAGCTTGTTCATTTTAAAAATAACAAATTCAACTTCAAATCAATAATTTTATTCTGTCCCTTGCAACTGTAATCGAATGAAATATCAGTGGTAAACCAATTATTATGATTGAATGGTTCTAAACCTGTTAATAGACCTCGGTAGAAAAAAGAAATGCATTACTTGCAAATAATGATTTGGAGCAAGGTAGAAATCTAAATAGAAGAATATTTTAAAAGATAGAAAAGTTTATTATACAAATAAATACAAAAATTTATCTCAGTTCATTCAATTCACTTGAATAATGCACTGAGATCTAAATCAAAGCTTTCAATAACACCAGGAGCATTAGAAACCATCTTATAAAACTCATCATAGGAAAGTTCTCCGCAACTGTTCTTTGAGTATTCCTTGACGAGTTGATTTGCAAGTAGATCTACCTTGGCTTCTTCGAAATCTATAAGATTGTTATTCTTTAATGAGATTTTGATAACTTTCAAAATTTCATCCTTCGAAACCATTCCACTTCCATCACTATCATATGCCTTGAAGCACATTTTAACTTTTTGTTTGAATGGAGCATCTGGATGGAAGCAGCTAAGTCCTTTGACAAATTCAATGAAATTGAGTTTGCCAGAACCATCAGAATCGACTATTTTGTAGATAATTTCGCCAATCTCGGGATTTTCTATATGTAATGCTTCGCAGAACATCTTAGAATCGATGTTATATTTGATATTCAGCTTTCGGAATATGTTTGCAAGGATATGAACTTCTTTTTCAGTGAAGTAGCAGCTTTCACTGATCTTGATAGCTTCATTATCACTGATAAATCCTTTATTAACAGCACTCTGGACAAGACCCATTGAGAAAAATGAAGAATTTTCGGTGAAAAAAATTCTGAACTTTGATTGAAAACTGGTCAAAGTTCTACAATAGGTATAAATTGTTTTTTTAAAAGAAAATTTTACATGATAGTAAACAATTTTAGCCAAATTTTTGAAACGGATTTTGGTCTGAAATTTTATGATGAATTAGAAAACATGTAGGAAATAAAGCAAGAATATAAACAATCATTAGCCATTTTTGAAAAACATCAATCTAGATTTTTGAATGGGATGATTCAAATTTTTGTGAGAACTTTTCACAGCAGAGGTAGGGCAACGATAGAAAATTTTTGGAAAAAAAGTTCGGAGATCTTAAACGTATCATATTCCCTGCATGGTTTGGTATCTTCCGCCATGCGTTGTGCCAAACATATTGACACTTTCCAATAATTAATTTATGGTATGAGTCACAGAGTTAGATTATAAAAAGAAAGTAAATAATTGCAATTAGAAATCATATATGTTGGAAATCAAATGTTGATGAGCAGAAACCTTTTACTCATCATAAAAGAGATAAATCACTAAAGATTTGTATACATTAAAATTTGATATTTGGTGCTCGAAAACTGTCTGATGGGACTCCTCCAAAATGAACCAATCTATCGCTGAGGACCAAATTAGATGATGTGGATGGTGTATTCTCTAATTCTAACTTAGGAAGAATGGGAACAAAACGAATGACGACAACAACATGTCAAACATAGATTAAATATCTATGAATCAATAAAGTATACGTGCATTGAAGGTGATAACGATCACTTGAGGCTTATAACTCTTTGACTAAATTACGCAATAATTAAATATAATCATTTTTATATTTTTATACTGATAGTAATTAATATACTATCCTGCTTAATAAATGGTATGATCAAATTTGTTTGAAAATTTAATTATGTATATGAAACTATGTCTTCTATATAAAAATCAAAATTTCTAACGAACCTAGATTGAACCTTTATGAAAATCTATCATTTTTGTTAATTGAGTTAATATGAATCTTTTACATATGTATATATAGCATTGATAGCTTATATAATCATGGTTTATTCCATATTAACATATTTTTCAGTTAAATTTGTTAATAATATCATGTAACAAATTAATTCAAGATTAGAATGTCTACAAAATGCTAACAAATAAGAACAAAATACGATTTCTCGACTTAAATTTTAATATGGAGTAGTTTTTCGTTTAAATCTAATTAAAAATGAATAAAAACTTATCTTGTACTATTTTCATTCAAAGATTTTAATAATGTAAATCATGCATTTTCATAATTCAGTACAGTTCTTTTAGAATTAAAGTTGATGAGGATGATATTTGTGATTTAAAATAATTTGTTAATGTTCACCTTTTATTCATCACCTTGTGGTATGCCCTAAAGCAATAGCATTATCAATTCTGCTGAATTGATCAACTCAAAATTCCAAAAAAAATTCAAAATTTCAAAAATGAAATTAAACAATTTGAATTTTCACATGAAAAAATCAATTTCGAAAAAAATTTGGAAAATCAAAGTATTTGATAATTAGTCAAATAATCAATTTACATCGTTTTTACTCATAAAAAACAACTAATTTTTGATTTTGATATCATATTTGATAAATACTCATTCCAGAGTTGACGTAATGTATTAATTATTGTTAGAGATATTGCTTTCGCAGCAAAATTCTTATTTCATGAAAGAAAAAAAAAATGATTTTATTCCAACAAAAACAAGTAAACAGATGAATGGAAACGTACTATATTTTCATAAATGTAGTAATCAGCGTGTCAGCTTTTGTTTATCATGTTCGAGTCAAAATGTATTAACTTGTAATAAGAAATATTCGAAGATTATATGAAGTATTGAGCATTCTTTGTAGAAATATTTGTAATTCATTACTAACATATATAATAAAGTTGTTTTTTTTTCCTTATTGCAATAATTTTGTCTGATTTTAATAACTTTTCATGTATACGAGTTGTGTGAATATGCATCATAATATGCGTAAATATACTTATTTGCGACGAATAATGTGGTTGCATAATGGAGGTGCTAAATTTTGATTTTTAATATGGGGCTTTGGTATGTATAATCATGTTCTTATCTCAACGTAGGAGTATTGGTGCAATATGATTAAAATTTACGAGGTTGATCTTAAATTGAATAATTCTGGAGTATAAATCACAATGCAGCTAATTCTATGTTAAAGATAGATACAGATTGTAGTAATCAATTAGGGAGTACAAATTCATTCTTTCATTTCTGTCGTATTGAGCAGAAAGGAAGAGATCATAACCCTAGGAAAAAAAGCCCAAATTTGTCACTTTTCATAGTACGTTAAACTCAATTCGCTCGGCGAATGCCGAGCACACGTACTCATCATTCAACATAATATTCTCATTCTTTGGTTATTATAGTGCCAGACAACACAAGATTTCAAAGAATTACTTGAGTTTTCAATTAATCTTAATCCGATTTTAGATTTATCGAGAACTCCATCATCACAATCACATACTTCAGTGCGGTAACTACAATTATCCATATACAGAAGGAAGTTCTTTTCGAACAACTCATTTGGAGTCTGTTTTGGAAAGAACTTCTTTCTGTCCGACTTAATTTCATAGTTCCTGATCAACCAAAAGACAGAAACCACACACTATCTACTTAGGAAAGGAGTTCTTTCTAAATCTTCCTTAAATTGAGATTTTACGAGAGATAACCCTTCTATTGCACTTAAAAATGAACATTTTGATATCTTTAGTATCACACATGGTCATATATAGTATTTCATCTACATGAATACATTCATCTTTCGAAGTCTCTCATTAAATGGGAGGCTTCGAAAGATGAATCGTTTTATTCATACAACTTTAAATCTCGAACACATTTAGAGAGTGAGTATATCATTTTATTCTTGTTTTGAGTTTATTCTGATTCAAAATTGCAGTGAAAACAGAAGTTCACACATCATATCTGAATGTGAGCTCATCTATACTTATACGATCTCAATACCTCCACTCTAAGCATAAGAGGTGAAGTTATATAAAAATTATCAGATGCGTTGAAGTCTCAAAAGTATTGCCTAAATGCTTGTTTCATATTTGTCCAAGTAGTTTCAATGAATAAATGTATTGTTTTTTATAATTTCGATTTATTTTTAGAAAATATTCAATATAAACCTTTATTGTGTTATTTACATCTCATAAATTCTCTGTCTAAATCATATAAAAGCGCGTTTTACCCCTATGAATCAAGAAATTCATTCAATATTCATGGTATATTTATTAAATTTATACGATTTACTAATAATCAATATTATATCCTCATAAATAGCAATATATTTTGGTAATCTATGATAATCATATACAATATTTGAAATCAAATTTTCATTAGTTTAGGTTCCTTGTTAATAGTAAACCATTATATTTATTACTAATAATAAAATCTATGTGTCGTATTGAAATTCAATAAAATTACTTATTCGGTCCAAAAAAACAAATTAGATAAAATTTTTCTTTTTTTATGTAATTTTTGTTTTTCATTTTTCTCAAGATCCTAAGTTATGTTCTAACTTTTGACATCATATCCTATCATGCTAGGCTATATATTATAGCATATCCAAAAGGCAAGGAAATCTATCAGAGAAGCCTTTTTGACCTATCGTTGCCCTACCTCTTTCACAGCAATTTTTTACATTAATATATAATTTCGTTATGTATCAAGTCTTTTTCAAAATAAATTTTAATTTTTTGTGAAATATTCAATTTCTGTCAATAGTTATTAACGAGATTGATAAATAATGCAAAATTACCAATATACATCATGGAAGAATTATCTTCGTAAAAATTTTTAATGAAATTTTTCAAAAGGCAACGATAATTTTATGGACAAAGGTTTTTATATTATCATCTATTAAGTATCTAATAGACAATTCTAAAATTTCCATTTTAAATTTAATCTTAAAGTATTATGCAAATTTGCGTCATTACAAATAATCAGTTCCATCATGTCTTTTACTTAATAATGACCGGTACCTCCCTAGATATGCCATTTTGTTGAATCTCGACCATAGTTTATTCAGCCGACATTCGAAAATCATAAAATGATCGCAACAGTTATTTTTTAATATTCGAACAATTAATGATACATGATATAGTTCCGAAAAATTGATATATTGACTTTTTTCAAACGATCATACCGATTTCATTCATCATTTTCTTCCAATTTGGAATGCAATTTTATTTCTTTAGAGCTTATCTATTTCATTTATAGACTACAGGATGTTTTTGAGATCAAATTTAAAAACTATTAAACATATCATAAATATTCTGAATTAAACTCTTATAACATAATCCTTCTGCAATATCCTGAAAATGCTTTTAATATTACTATGCATTTTCGCTAATTTTACTATCTGCTCTATATATATCCTAGCTAACATATATCCGATCTTATCTAAAAATGCTTAGAACATATCACATAAATTAAAAATGAGGACTTGAATATTCAAATCACACTCATTCCTCGATGAAATTAATTTCACATAGGGATTACTCCATGACATTAGTTAATGACATACTGACACCTGGTATAGATGTGGCTAATCAGGCAATCAAATATTCCTAATTTTTTTTTCAATGACAATTGAAAATTTTATTCAAAAATTAAATGAATTTTGTAAAAACCAGAGCAACTTCCAAAAACCCACCAATTTATACTAGAGGTAGCAGTAATAATCCTCCATATGGGCAAATTGTTAATAAAACAAAGTCAGCAATTTGTTTTTTATGTCTATTTGATGGGTTAAGAATCCCATCAATCAGAAGATTAGTCAGAAAGCCCCAAAACATATGCGATAGACCATTGCTAACATTTGACCCAACATATTATGCACCAGATTCTTCAAAAGCGATTCAAGAGATGTATAACAATGCTTTAAAGTGTCCATGTGACTTTGCTGTCGATCCATCAGCACAAACCGTATTAACGTTATTACGAAAACATTGTTCTTCAATGCCTCCTCAAAGAATTTTATTACATTATTTTGGTTCAGGCTGTCATCCACCATCCGATGATGGCAACCTCTTTTTCTTCTCAGATGATAGATCACGATACAAACCAATAAAAGTCGCCAATCTCTTAAATAGCTGTAATTGCCCTATTTGTGCCATTATTGATGCTCCTTCAGCGGGCTCGCTATACAGAGCATTTCAATGCAGACAAGATGTTTTTGCCTTTTTGGCATGCGGACCTGGCGAATTGTTGCCAGTTTCGACTGATGCACCATTAGATATCTTTTCCTCATGTTTATTATGCCCATACGATATTGCCCTTTGGTTCTATCATCGCCATCACAACGGAATTATTGAAGCAGAAAACAATGGAACGAAAGATTCAAAAGAAAGATTAATTCGATTCTTAAACGCCATACTTGATTCAATACTTTTCGATTCACAAACACAAGACACATACTACAGGTTCTCTATTGATCCTGCCGTACTTACTCTTGCACGTGGCTTTGTTTTAGCCCAAAAAGTTTTGTCTTCTTTCAATATCCATCCAATTTCGATTCCAGAGCTTAAACCAATGGAATCTCATCCATTGTGGGCATTATGGGACACTACTCTTGACTGTGCAATTGCCCTCAATACCTCCCAAATGTCATCAATGATCTTTTCTTTAGTTACAACTTCATTTGACTCTTTTCCTTCCACTTCACTTTTCCCTATCTTTGCATACTTCCTTTCCACAGAGCACCATTACCACATTGCACAGCGACTCCTTCAGTACATAGATTCCACTGAAGGTGCTGCAACAATTGCTTCTCATTCAACAATTCCTTCTGTGATTGTTAGCCTTGAAAAACCATCAGTTTTATCTTTAATCATTTTGTCAAAGATCATTGCAATATCTAAGATCACTCCTTACGAGCAGATGACACCAATCAACTTCATACAAGCCAAAGATCCAGGAGTTCTGAAGGCAGGAATGTTGATGATTTCAATCTGCATTTCGACATCGCATCTCGCAAATTTCAACAAACTGACAGACGTTTGCATTGATCATGCAGCACATTGTGCACCATATTCATGCATATTGTTAGGTCTGTTGGCTGAGAAATCTGGTAGATTGATCCAATTGCCTAATTACGTTCCAAAATTTTTGCCATTATTGAAGTCCAGAAAAGACACAATAAGAGCATCAGCAGCATATGTTATTGGCAACAGCAGACAACCAGATATTGTTCAGTATCTTGTTCCTTACTTGCAAGATAAGTCGAGTTTGGTAAGAGCACAATCTGTTTGGGGAGTTTGCAGAGGAATGATCATTTCTCAGAAAAAGGATTACTTGGATTTGATCTGCCAAATGAAAGATGATAAAGACAAAATAGTAAGAAAGACTGTAGAGTTGTTGCTCCCTTATGTAAAAGCAGACGAGATTATTGATGATATTAAATTGCCACAAAATCATTTGTTGATACAAATGCTTGTGAAAAGTGTGAGTTCCAATGATTTTGTTTCAAGATTTGAAGATGAGGTCTTCATGATGTAATATTTATTTTTATTTTGTTTGTTATTAAAATATATATTGAATTATCTGATTTTCTAAGAGTTTTTTTGAAAGATTTATCAAGATTTGAAATATAAAACAACTTCTAAGAGTTATGCTTGTAATACATTGGCGAATTCAGACAATTTGGTTTGTAGAAACCTTTAATAAAACAAAAGATTCAAAAGATAAAATTTGATAAATTGATGATTTTATCGAGCTTTCGATTTTGAGCTGAACTAAATTTATTCCATCATAATTACTTATCATTCTTATCTTGATGAAAGTTTTGATAAAATTTTAAACGTACAGTAATGGATAGTGGATATATTGCTCACACTGTCATTCCCGAAAAAGGAATTACAACAGTCCGTTTTGGGAGTGATGAAAAGAAAGTTCTAATTGTTTCTCGTTGCAATGCTATATATAATTACACTGTTGGCGATAAAAAAAGACCTCATGCCTTTAAAGCTCCAGATTTTGATCCTACCGTAGCTATTTTCAATGGAGATGGCAGTACTATTTATGGTGGATCTCTTTCCGGCAAGATAGCACTATGGCCAAATCATGGACTTACTGTAACTTATATAACAGTTGGACATTCAGGAGCAATCAATGATATGGCTTATTCAAAGAAAAGTAAATGCGTTTTGACCGGTTCAAACGACAAAAACGTTAAATTATGGAATGATGAGTTGGGATTTATCACATCATTCAAAGAGCATCCATGCCAAGTTACAGCTGTTGCTGCAGATCCTACATCAACAATTGTTGCCTCAGGAGATTCTCAAGGTAACTTAATTGTCTGGGATTCCGCAAAAGTGATAAAACTAAAAGGACAAAAGGATCTTTCATCTGCAGTTCTATGGAAGAAACTACTTAGAGTTAAAAAACGGTGTGAAATCTCATCCATTTCGTTCGACTTCACAGGAGGTTTCGTATCTGCAACAACTACTGATGCGCATATTACAGTCTGGGATGCCAAAACAGGAGAGTTAATTCAAGCATACAATGAAGACTCTAATTGCTGCACCTTTAGCCCAACAGCGCCATTTTTATTGGCTTCATCAAGAACAAACCAACAAAAAATATTCTCTCTTGAATCATCATCACTACTTTACTCATTTGAAGCTCATAAATCACCAGGAATTGCCTCTGCATGGTCACCATCAGGAAAGATTTTCGTGACAGCAGACATTGATGGCGTAATTATCAGTTGGAACATGCCAAAAGATAAATTCAAGCCTATTTGGGTTGATAAAACAGGTAATATTCAAAAATTACCAAAAACAGAAGTTCAACAGAAACAAGTACCTCCAAAAGCAGAAGAAGAACAACAAAAGCAATTGCCTCCAAAGGCAGAAGAAATTAAATCAGATAAAGAAGATGAAAAAATTCCAGCCAAAAAGGAACAGAAATCTTCCACAGGTATAAAAATAAGGACAGATGAGCCAGTAGATGTTAAGCTTGATGCAATTTTTAAGCAACTCCAAGATCTGACTAATCTTGCAAATCAGATGGTTGTTAAAATCCACGAACAGGACGAAAAAATCGAAAGCCTTTCCAAGGCAGTATTTAACAAATAAGATTTTCCTACAGTTTGTTATTTTGTTTTTTTAAAAAAATGTTATTTTATTATTAAAGAATAATTATTTTTCAGAGAAGTTACGGGCAGCTTCCAAAACTTCCTTAGAAGGCATGGTATATGGATCGCTATCCTTTGGACAGTACTTTTCGCAATATTCTTTAACATGAATTGGGAAATTATCCTTTGTAGACTCATCAAGCATTTCATCAGCAATATTGGCATCAAGTGGGTCAGATGGGTTTGGATTCTTTAACAAGAAGCCAAGAGCGACGTAATGGGCATGAATTGATGTAGATGCAAGGTATGTTTCGCCACGGAGAGTGGAAAGGCAAACGTTGCCGTCCTCATCAATGTTTGGATGCCAAATCTTTGTAAGGCAGAGAACCTTTGGAGGGATATATGGGAAATTATCTGGGGTGGCGAACAAGAAATCGAAGTTGTAGCCTGCCCAGTATCCATCTGATGGTTTAATACGAACAACAAAATTCATGATGTCATTCTTGTTGACAAGAACGAAAACTGGATCGTTTTTGCCTCTGCAGACATTTTCTTTAAAATTATCTAAATCACTAGAAAGACGAAGCTCGGAAGCCATGTTTGCTTTCTTTCCAAGGATATTGAGAGTTCTATCAGAGCGAACTGCACCGCCACGACCACCACGGCTAGCTGACATTTATAAAATGAAAATAATTATGACAAAAAATTTTCAAAAAGTATTGTTTTGTTTATAAATTGTTATTTTTGGCTTATTTTTATCCAAATCTATTTGACCATTCACTTTCTAAAAAGTAACATTCTCATGGAAAATTTCCTACGAAATTTTAAAAAACATGACCAGCATCTCAAAAATACATCATTTAAGTCATATCTTTTAGTTTGTGAGTCAAAAATCTTAAGATTTAAATTCGGATTCCTTCCCAACGACTACTTTTTTTTTTGAAAAAATTTTCAAAAAATTATGTGATTTCATTATCCAGTCCATATCAGACATCAAAGAGAAGATGAATTAGAATTTAATGACTTGCGTAATAATAAAAATCGTTATCATACATTTTAATCTTTAAATATATATAAATAAAAGAAATATACATCTTAGTGGTAAGCTGGGTCGCTATATGCAAGCTTTTGCCTGATACTCCATCTTAGATTGTCACGTCTTCTCTCTGGTGGCGGAACATAGTCCGGGAATCTTTCTTCATACAACAATCTTCTTCCTTTCTTAGGAACAGGTGGTCCTTTCCTTTTGCTTGGTTTAATTGGAGGTGGTCTAATAAATCCGCCGACTAATTCTTTCTTTACTGCTGGATATGGATCTAGTTTTCTTTCAGAAGTTCCAAAATACATTGGAACATCAACTTCTGCACCGTCATCTTCAGGCGGATCAGCCATGATAATATCTCTACATTCTTGAAGACTCTGATCAAGCTGATCTGCCTTATTTCTGAGTTCTTGAATTCTTTTAGTCCATTTTTCTGTTTCATCATCGTCTATTTGCTTTGGCTTTGATGATCTTACAGGACTTGCCCTTTTATGAGATTCTCTTTTTGGACTTGCGTTAGAGCTAGCATTTCTTATAGGTGCTGGTTCATCATCATCGTCTTCAAAGGCTGCAGCTTTAATTGATGGTTTTGGAGGAGATTTATTTGATTTTTTAATAGGTTCACGACGTGCAGGTAGGGCAGATTTCTTCAAAGGTGGCTTTTTAAGTGGTCTATATTCATGAATTTCTTCTTCTTCAACGTCAAGTTCTCCAGATTCGGCTTCGTCTTCTTCATTTAGAGAAAGCATAAACTCTTTTAATGTTTCTGGTGGAATATTTTTATATCCTTTCTCTTCAAGGAGTTTCCGAACTTCGTTTTCATCTAATTTGCTCATTTTTAAATTTAAATGTACGTTTAAAAATTATTTTAGGGGGAAAAATTTCGAGGGCCCCATCTCGCTTTCTGTTTTATTCATCAGAAAACCACATGAATAGGTTCTATATACACATCACAACAGAACTATTGACAGATTTGTTAAGTATTTTAGATATTTTACAAAATAAAATAATTATAATAACATTTTTACTACAAAAGCATACAAATTTATTAGTTTTTAGACTCATCCAGCATAGTTAACAGTTGTTCTGGAGGTATTGGAGATTCATCAGTAATACGATGAACGAATTGAGTAATCAATTCAAATTGTTTCTTATCAGCTTCCATATTTGTTAAAGCAGCCATAAGTTCTGCATTTCTTCTTTCTAAATCCGCGATTTCTCTTCTGTTTTCGACCTGAACTTGATGCATTTCTTCTAAAACTTTAATTGTTTCACGAAGTTTTTCTTTAAGAAGTCTTGATTTATCGTGAATGTTCTTTCTTGCATCTTCGGACTGTCTTAATTCTACCTTCAAGTTATTTATTTCTATACTTGCTTTCTCGCGTTCGACATCAATATTATGGAAGTCATCGCTTTTTGTGGCGAATTCAGCTTTCAAATCTTTCAATTTATTCTTAAGACTTTCATTTGAAACTGTCAGTTCATTATTCTTTTTTGTAATCATGTCTATTTTGCCTTGAAGTTCTCCAACCTTAACTTCATAAGCTGCATTTTCTCTTTCTGTTTTTACATGGTTTTGTATCTGCTGTTTATATTCTTCAACAGATTTCGTTAATTCATCGATTTTCTGTTTCTGCTGAGAATTTGATGCCTTTAATTGCAAATTTTCTGTTGTTAAGTCTTGTGTTTTGGCTAATTCTTTATCTAATTTAGATTGGAGATCTGCATTAGTTTGATTTAATTTCTCATTTTCTTCTTTAGAATTTTTCAGTTCTTTTTCCAATTCTTCAATTTTTTGTTTCATTTCATCATTTTCAGCTTGTAGATCTTCGTTTTTAGTATACAATGATTGTATTTCTAATTCATGGCATTCTATTCTTGCCTTCAAACTCTCGGTTGCCTTATTCACTTCTTCAACTTTTCCATCAACAGACATCTCTACTTTCTTCTTTTCTTCTTTAGATCTCAAATTGATAGTCATGAATCCCGAGATGATAGAATCAAATAATACGCTACTATCTGCTGTTTTATCACCAATTTCAAGCTTTGATATCTGTGAAAGAGCTGTTACAGCATCTAATAAAGCTTTTCTATCTGTCATATTTTCAATAACATGTGCTAAAAGAGCCGAAAACTGAGAATCAATGATTACTAATCTTAATCTCTTTCTCCATGAATCAATGTGATAAGAAGTGAAAGATATGAATAAGAAAAAAATCAAAGAAACATATGGCTCACTTGATTCGATCTGACGTTGAAAGGCAACAAATATTTGTTCTTCATATTTCTCTAAAGTAGATTTTACATTCATAATCAACTTTTCTGATTGAGAAAAGAATTTTAGAATTGTTGCTGCTCCTTCAAGAAGTTCATAATCAAGTGTACTGGGCGGAGAAGATAATATTCTCAATGACTTTGTAATATGAGAAACTGTATCCTCAAGTTTATCAAAGAGATTTGTATTTTGGAAATAAAGTTGTTCAATCATCATCAAAATTTCATGAGAAACAAAGCCATACGGTGTCGAAACCATTGCATCAATGACACTATCAATGCTAACTTCTTCAAATGTTAATAAGAAATTAGATTCACGATTAATAATAATTCTATTTAAACAATTAAAGAGTAACATTGATTTAATTGCAACAGATGATACAGCAGCTTCTGATATTTGCTTTATTTCTTCCTCTGTTAATATTGCAACCACACTTATATCTGTTAATAAATGAATTGCGCATTTTAGTATGAGAATGTTATCACCTGAAACAGAAATTGCATGTAATGCTGCAGCTTTTACGGTATTCCCGTCAATACTTCGTGGAAATATACAAAGAAGCGATGAAAGAGCAGAAAGAACTGTTAAATGATCATCTGATGAAAGAGAAGCCATTGCAAGATCTCTAAATGTTTTCAGATCTGGAGATGTGCGTACAAAAGTTAAAAATAATGGTCTTGATCGCAATAAACTTGAAATTGTACATAAAGCAAATGAAGAGCATGATCTTTCAGTAAGTAAATGGACAAGCTCATGAAACATATCACCATATTGTTCTTTATCCGGCTGATTTAAGATTCCATCAGAAATAATAGCCGTTAATTCGAGTAATTGCTTTTGTATTTCAGGCGGAGTATTATTTGAAATAGTTTCGATAACTTTGTGAAAAGGAAAATGATTTGCCAAGCAGTTATGTACTGATGGAGAAGAAATTGAAAATGATTTTAAGAATTTTGTGATTGCTTCTGTAAAAGTTATTGATTCTTGGCTTTCTGGATTGATGCGTGAAAATGGTTCTATAATTAATTGAATAAATGATTCTAACGAAGGATCATTTGATAAACTAGCGAATTCGAAAGTTCCGATCGAAAAGGTTGATATAATATCTAAATATGCCTTATCAAAAGCAACCGTATTCTCTTTTTTCGATTCTAGAGCTTCACAGAATGTACCAAGATGCATTGTAGACGTTTAATATTTTTTTTATAGTTTCAAAAAAATAAGAAGAGAAAAAAAAATTAAAGAAAAATGAATGAAAATCTTGATGATATCTTTGATACAAGTCTTGGATCAGTGAAAGACATTGAGAATGATACTAATCCTGCAAGTAGCGATACTAATAAAAACTTCGAAGAAGAAACAATCAACGAATCTGATAATAAATCAAAAAGCAAACAAATTTCAAACAAACAGCTATCAAGTAGAGAAATTAATGAAATCAAAGCAATGCAAAATCAAAAGCTCTTTGCTTTGAAGCAACAAAATCTTGCAAAAGAACAAGCACTAGCGAGTTCGAATGATTTAAAGTATAGAGACTATTTATGGGATATAACATGCAAATACTTTAATAAAGGATGCTTCGCAGATAACTTACAACCTCAATTCGATCAAAAATTAGCAGATGAAGAATTTAAACTCAAAAAGGAAATCATCGCATTACAAGAGCAAAATAAAGAAGAAATACGACTAGCAAAAGAAGCAATGAAAACTCAGAACATTAAATCTGAACCACAAGTTGAATTACTTGAACCACAGAAGTTAGCACAAATCCTGTATGATAGTATTTATGACAGCGATATATTTCGCGAGTCATCAGATATTAATAAGATAATAGATCAAATCTTACAAAAATTAGAAAATAATAATAATGCTTTTTCAGATAGTTCAGGTTTCTCGGAGAGTTCAATACCAATGCAATCTCCAATACGTAATCAATATAGCTCACCGCCTTTAAAGGTATCTCCACCAAAATTAGTGCCAAGATCGACACCAAAAACAAATAGAAATCTCAAAAACGATCCGGCATTAAGAAGAAATATACAGGAACGAAAGAAGTTGAAACAATCCATTGAGCAAACTAATAAATTCCTTGCTGAAATGAAAAGACAATCTTGGTTTGGCGAATTTATGTGATTTTATGTTATTTTGTTATTGTTTGTAGTTAAAAAGCTAAATTTTATCTATTCAGGTCTTCATTTACATAGATATAACATGCTTTTTTTATTGAAATCATTCGACTCTTTATAATGATGTAGACAGACATTGCACAATGGAATTTTTATTCAATACATCAATTATTCATACTATATTTGTAATAATTCATATCATCTACTGACACAACAAACATTTCCCTGTAAATGGTAATTTATTCACAGTCTCACTGTAATAAACAGAAATTCATCAAAAGTGACAGCTCTCAATTTTTTGACATTTGTAAATTCTAAATTGAATGAGAAAAATGAAATAATACTAAGCATAATACAATATTCTAGATTTAATTATAATTAGGAAAAAGTTAGTTTTGAGAGTACTTTTCATAGGCATATAGAATGAAATCTTCTGAAAAATAATATCACATAAACTCATATTATTTTCTAATATATAACTATTTTATATAAAAATCAAATTCAATGATCTTAAAAGCGAAGGATAAACCTCAAAATTTACGAATATAATGAGTGGGAATATAATGCTTATCTATCATAAAACCATATGAAATATCAATTTTTGCTTTACGCCTAATTTTTGACGACAATTAGCAAAAAATGTTAAATGTTAACACTCAGTCCATTTGAATATGAAAAATAAAATTGACTTTGATTAAATGTTTTTATTTATCATGCAATTCTTCTTGCGACCAAAGATTTGAATAAAATTTCAAAAAATAAGATAGCTTAAAAAATAATATACGGTAGTGTTTACTAATAGATGAATAGTATATAAATTCTATTAAAATGGATTTGATCCAAAAAAATATATAAAATTTGATCATAAATAAAATCGTTTTAAATTACTTCTTCATTTAAATTATAACAATTATTTTTGGTTTTATATTTTTTTGGATCAAATCCATTTTAATAGAATTTATATATATTCATCTATTAGTAAACACTACCGTATATTATTTTTTAAGCTATCTTATTTTTTGAAATTTTATTCAAATCTTTGGTCGCAAGAAGAATTGCATGATAAATAAAAACATTTAATCAAAATCAATTTTATTTTTCATATTCAAATGGACTGAGTGTTAACATTTAACATTTTTTGCTAATTGTCGTCAAAAATTAGGCGTAAAGCAAAAATTAATATTTCATATGGTTTTATGATAGATAAGCATTATATTCCCACTCATTATATTCGTAAATTTTGAGGTTTATCCTTCGCTTTTAAGATCATTGAATTTGATTTTTATATAAAATAGTTATATATTAGAAAATAATATGAGTTTATGTGATATTATTTTTCGGAAGATTTTGTGTTCTTCTTCAAAATTTTATTTTTTTATTAAAAAGAATCTTTACAAAATATACATTTACTTTAATTAATATTTAAAAACGTGCTCTATCAAAAGTTCCAAAAATTCAATATTTTAGCTTTTCTGAGGTGTCACTTTTGATGAATTTCTGTTTACAACAGAATTATTGAATAATAATTAAAAATCATTCGCAAAAAAGGTTTTGTAACTATAAAATTCATTTTAAGAAATATGTAGTAGGTAATGATTTAGGTATCTTGTATATTATGAAACCGAAAAACCAAAATAATAAAATAACTTTAAGTACCATGAACAATAACCATTTCCTTTGGAGCAATCTTCTCCTTGATGAAGAATTCAGCGACTTTTTGGCGGTGGTCGCCATTAAGTTGGATAACTTTTGTTCCGTTTTCTTCAGCGATGATTTCGCCACCGCAGCACAAGCTCTTCTTGAAGAAGGAAAGAACTTTGTCGCAATCTAGCTTCTTTGGAAGTCCTTGAATGATGGTCAAAGATCTGCGTGAGGAGACTTGCTGGTAACGGATATGGATCTGCTCCTTAATCTTTGGTCCAGTTACTGCTGCTTTCTTCTCTTCAGTATCATCGAAATCTGGAACGAGATCGCGATTACTCATTGGCTATCGTCTGTGAAGTCACTTTTCGTACATGGCTATATTTCTCTTCTCACCTTATCTGACCAGCGTACATTTTTGTGAGGTAGGGGCCATATCAGATCTTATATCAACCACCAAAACTTCAAAAAATTAAATTTCGTTTTCAAATTTCTTTAATTCGGTGAACAATATTGATGAATTTAGATTTGCTATTCTGAGCTTTAAAGTAATAATCAATAAAATTATGTATAATTGGTCGGATGTGACAAAAATTTTTGTCACCATTTTTTACATCGCCCAATTTTTGTAAAAAAAAATGGTTGTTGATACGAAGCTATATGAAATTCTTGGTGTTGAACCAACAGCATCAGATAGAGAACTTAAGAAAGCTTTCATGGTTAAAGCTCGTCAGCTTCATCCAGATAAAAACCAAGATGATCCGAATGCAACAGAGAAATTCCAAGAGCTTAATGAGGCATACGAAGTCTTGAAAGATCCAGAACGCCGTAAGATCTATGATGAATACGGTCCGGAAGGTCTTCGTGAAGGCGCTGGCCAAAATGCAGATTTCGGTGATATTCTTAGCCATCTTTTCGGATTCAATACAGATCCAAATGCTCGTCCAAAGACACGCAACATTATCAAGGAAATACCAGCTACTCTCGAAGAACTTTACAACGGCGCTGAAAAGAAGATCACAATTGAGCGCCATGTCGTCTGCAAGAAGTGCAATGGAACAGGCACAAAGGACGGCAAAGAGCCACCAGTTTGCGAAACATGCGATGGCCAAGGACAAGTTCTTGGCGTCCAAACAGTTCATGGAATGCAAATGCAGAGCGTCATGCCTTGCCCTAAGTGCCATGGCCACGGCAAGATCGTAGATGAGAAAAACAAGTGCCCAGAATGCGACGGCGAAGCAATTGTTCTTGAAGAGAAGGAATTCATTTGCCAGATCGAACGCGGCATGAAGGATGGCTCAAAGATTGTCTTCCGCGGCGAATCAGATAATATTCCAGGCGCAGATCCAGGAAATGTCGTAATTTACATCCGTGAAGAATCTCATCCAGTATTTGTACGCAGAAATGATGATTTATTGATCGAAAAAGACATTACACTTACAGAGGCCTTTTACGGAGCCAAATTTGTGATTGATACACTCGATAATCGCAAACTCTTTGTAGAAACAGATCCAAATCAGACAATATCATACTCAATGGTCAAAGCTATTGACCGTGAAGGTATGCCAATCCAAGGAAATTCTTTCAATCGTGGACAATTATTTGTTCAGTTCAATATCGTATTTCCAAAGCGCGAGGCCCTTACAGAGGAATTCAAGCAAGCATTACTTAAAGTTCAGCCGGTAGAGAAGCTCGATATCAACCTCGACGACGAAAATGTTTATCCAGTTACGGCACAGGACGCACAGGTCGAAGATTTCACAGAGAATAGGGCAGAACACAGCGAGAGAAGACACGAAGCTGTCAATTCTTCTGATGAAGACGAGGATGAAGGATTTTATGAAGAAGGCGACGAAGAAGGACAAAATGTTGGATGCCAACCGATGTAAATAATATTTTTTTCTCTTTCTATATAATTAATTTTTTTTAAATTTCATCAAAATTTAATTTTCCTTATTAAACTTTTCTTTTCCTTCTTAACTTACTTATTTTCATACCTTAATTAAGTCCAATATTCTGCTTATTCGAAGTTTCAATTCGTTCTTGAAGATTTTAACACAAATTTTACACTCCATCGCATTTTCCAGGTTCCAAACTACAATTGTTGTAAACAGAAATCCATCAAAAGTGACACCTCAGAAAAGCTAAAATATTGAATTTTTGGAACTTTTGATAGAGCACGTTTTTAAATATTAATTAAAGTAAATGTATATTTTGTAAAGATTCTTTTTAATAAAAAAATAAAATTTTGAAGAAGAACACAAAATCTTCCGAAAAATAATATCACATAAACTCATATTATTTTCTAATATATAACTATTTTATATAAAAATCAAATTCAATGATCTTAAAAGCGAAGGATAAACCTCAAAATTTACGAATATAATGAGTGGGAATATAATGCTTATCTATCATAAAACCATATGAAATATCAATTTTTGCTTTACGCCTAATTTTTGACGACAATTAGCAAAAAATGTTAAATGTTAACACTCAGTCCATTTGAATATGAAAAATAAAATTGACTTTGATTAAATGTTTTTATTTATCATGCAATTCTTCTTGCGACCAAAGATTTGAATAAAATTTCAAAAAATAAGATAGCTTAAAAAATAATATACGGTAGTGTTTACTAATAGATGAATAGTATATAAATTCTATTAAAATGGATTTGATCCAAAAAATATAAAACCAAAAATAATTGTTATAATTTAAATGAAGAAGTAATTTAAAACGATTTTATTTATGATCAAATTTTATATATTTTTTTGGATCAAATCCATTTTAATAGAATTTATATACTATTCATCTATTAGTAAACACTACCGTATATTATTTTTTAAGCTATCTTATTTTTTGAAATTTTATTCAAATCTTTGGTCGCAAGAAGAATTGCATGATAAATTGTTGCATGCTAAGTTCGGTCAACGATAGAAATTGAGTGGAAATTAATCGTCGAGGAAGTACGATTATGTAAAGTAAAAAAATGTTGTGGGATTTTTAATATTATATATTATTTTATAATAAAATTTTTTTGAGTCATTTTAAGAAGCACATATAATTTTTTGAATTTAAAAATTAAAGTAGTGTCAAACGAATTTATCACTTAATTTAATACTCAGATTTCTTAAAATTAATGAAAAAAAGGTTTTCTGAGAACTTTTGAGAATGGTTTTCAAATTCCATTATTGAAAATATATAGGTATTGTATGAAATTCAAACTCTATATTTATTAAAATTCTAAATTTTTAATAAAATAACTTTTCAGAGGAATATGATTTTGAATGGTTGATTAATAAGTATAAAAATGTCTACGATTTTAAGGAGGGAATTGTTCCTTATGAGGTATACATAATAACTATATACCTCATAAGGAACAATTCCCTCTTGATAGCTGGGAAACTTTCTCTGAATAACTTATCATTTGGAGAAAGTTTTCCAGCTATCTATTAGAAACTAAAGGCTGTGAGGCACTAATATATAATCAGTGCCTCATAGCCTTTAGTTTGTTATTAAAAACGAGAAAACTTGTTCGAAATGATAAACAATTTCGAATAAGTTTTCTCGTTTTAAGGAGGGAATTGTTCCTTATGAGGTATACATCATAACTATATACCTCATAAGGAACAATTCCCTCTTGATATCCTGGATATTTTTGAATATATTTTTTTAATTAAAGTTCTCAAAAGTATTATCAAAAGTGATTTTTTAAAAATATCTCCAATTAATTAACTAATTAAAAGTATTATATTTTTAAAATTAAATAGTTTTTCAATTTTTTTGAAGGAATTGAGATACTTCCCACGACAATAAAATTGAGAGGTTTACATTATGACTGATCTTAGCATGCAACAAAATAAAAACATTTAAGGGTATAGTCCACTAAAAATTTTTAAGTTTTGACAATGAAAATAAGCTCTGGGACCATGTAAATATATATCTATGCAAAACGAGAGGTTATGCCATAATTTTTTTAGTTATCAAATTTTCCTTTTTTTGAGAGAAGTCTCTCAATAATTTGAGAAGAATCTTTGATATAAAGAGATACACATTTGTAGAACGAAGTAAGTGTTTTCCAAACATTTTATATATTCATCCTGTATAACAATATAAAGCTGCATAGTGCCATCTTGTGCGTTTGCTATTTTATGCACTTTTCATTGAGATAATCCCTCTTCTCCGGTGATTTTAACAGTCAACTCAATTTTAAAATAAAGATTTCATCAAAATGATTTCGAAATTCGGATATTGATTATATAAATAGCACTGTTAACATATTTTGGATGAGTAAAAAATACCTTGTTTTGTATGCATTTAGTACACCTTTATTTTTGATTAAAACTATAAAATTTTTATTCCTTATATAATAAATAGTATATGTTACATAAACATGAAATTCAATAGCATTCAATTTTGGATTTTTTAGATTTGGTAAATTTTAGAAGAAATAAAATCAGCAATCAAAATAAAGAAACTTTTTTTGTATCTTCTATGATTACCTTTTGGTACTAAATTTTGCATTAATAAGTAAATTATCTGTATTATTCTGTGAGCACAAGCCCTCAGTTATGCTGGTAGTGAATGATGAATCGTCATTTTGCGAAGAGAACGCGATTATTAAGGTAATTTTGAGAATTGTCTTGAATTATTTAAAATTAAAGTTAATTGAATAGGTAGGATAACTAGCCTTTGCTAAATTTGTATAATTTGACCTTATTCTAGTTGGATCTGAGAATATTTTGCTGAAATAATAAATTATATCGCCGATTTATGAAAATTTCTCTGATGGGACCGACTCGCTGAAACGTATTAGTGTTAATGGTAACTTGTCTGAATTTTCAAATTTTTTTCGAAATCCAAAAAATCACAAACAAAAGCATCAAAATTAGATTTGCATTTAAGGTTTTCATTTTTTTTTGGAAAATAAAAATATTTTTTCCCAATAAAGTTTATTTTTACTTTTGAGAGGAATAGAAACGTTATTTTGGAATTTTGAAACGACAGAAATGTTCCATTTTTAATGTAGATTCTAAAATGGGGTCAAATTTTTGATTGAACCGTTATCCATTGAAAAACCTCGATTTTAAAATGTTATTCCAAAATATTCATCTAATGATATAGTATATATTTATTAATTATTACTTTTTATTCAATTTTCACTTTTGGCGGGATTTCATTTTTTTGTTGTTGTATGGGCCATATTGTTCACCCAAAACGGAAAACAAAGGCAATGCATAACATTTTACTCCACGAACGTCGTCGACTCTCAGCGCGACAGATGCTTGGTGCTTGCATAATGACCGGAATGCCATATACAAAAGGTGCTCGCTTTCTTTCTCTTTGTGGAACTAAGCCCCCTGTGAAGAGTGGTGTCATGAGACAACAGAGATTTTGTGACGATAAGATTAGAAGACTTAAAAGTATTTCCCTAATGCTGTCGAGAAAGTCCTTCAGTGGTTACTTATCCATTGATGCAAGATGGACGCACAGGCGAAACTCGCCAAGTTGTACAGTAACTGCGCTCGATGATGTCACAAAAAGAGTTCTTGCATGCGTGAACATCAACCATATTGGTGGAAACAGACAGCATGCTCAGTATTCCGGAGCTTCCAACAATATGGAAAGTGCTGGAACTCGAATCATCTTGAAGCAATTAAAGAAATACAATATCTTGAAAGATGTTAAAGAGATTATTAAAGACCGAGATAACAAAAGTGTCTCTGTCTTTAAAGAATTTGGCGTCTCTCATCTTGAAAGATTCGATCCAGGTCATGTATCAAAAAATATCTCAAAAGATTTTACAAAGTTCTCAGCTTCTCATAAGACAGTTGAAGTTTTCAACGACAAGACTCAGAAGATTGAAAAAATAGAGAGACCTTTCTGGGGTCTGAATGCAGTTAGTATACAAGTCTCGTGTACTGAGGCACTGCGTTCCTCCGTACACAATACTTGTGAATTTGACACTTTACAAAACCGTTAACGTATATTTTACAACACAAACACAAACACCAACTTAACCTTAAATATTTATAAAGCCGCCAACCACTTCACCTTACTACTGTAAAAATAAACGTTCTCACTTACAAAAGTATTGCAACTCTTCCCATTGCTGTGCTTCACACAATAGTTCATATTCTTCAGTATCGCTGCTGTCGCTCCAATCGTCAGAGTCAAAGTCACTGTCAAAATAAATGTTAGTAAGTTTTGACAAAGCTAATGAAACACGTTTACCGTTTGTATCGTATGCTTGTATAAACTTTCCATTCTTCATTCCTTCATAAACGCTCAAACTAACTTTACCCTTTCTCCCTCGTATCTGATAGAATGTATTTTCACGAGGAACGAAGAACAAATTCTTGAACTCATGACCGTTGTAGTTTGTTATCTCAATAGTTTTCGTCATTACATCCAAATAAAAATTTTCAGTAAAAATAAAACTAACGTTAAAAATTTCTCATAACATAAACGTTCTCATTACTTTATAACTCTCTTCCTTTCTCCAACTCTTCTAACTTCTTCTTAAGTTCAGCAATGTTGTCCTCATGAAGTTTAATCTTCCTTAATATACCTTCTCTATCTAATGGTTGCTTTATCTTTCTAAACTGAACTCTACCATCCTTCATAGTATGAACGTAAAAACCTTCTGGAATAGTTCCTGATTTAATGTATTCTACCAAAAACTTTTGTTTCATTGCTTCAGTGACTTTAGTCGTCATTTCAATCAAATAAAAATTTTAATATTAAATAAAAATAACGTTATTTTTTCAGTAAGGAAACGCAGGAGTTTTACGATTTATTTGAGGAGTAGGTTCTGGTTTAAATGTTGGAGTCGGTTTAGGAGTTGACTTTTGAACAGGAGTTTGTACTTTCATAGGTTCAGGAGTCATTG